GGAGTTGTCGAACTTTTTAAAGATAAGATATGCATTTAAGGAACCAGAGTTCGTCCTGTATATGAACCTAGGGAGATCGGGATTGACACGTCGTTCAGATGACCCAGAAATATCTGCTAAACAAAATAATGGCAAAGGTACTTTACAGATCTTGGTTACTTGATTAGTAATAATGGTTAATGCGTTGTGAGGATTGGAATTGGTGTAGAAGGCCAGCACTCGACATGGAGTTGTAATGACAATTTATTAAGTAAAATTATAGTAATAATTTAAGAAGGTGAATCCTTAATCTCTTAACTCTTGCTGCCTTTAGGTGACCACACTTCTCGAGGGTTAGCGATCAGTAGAGATCATTCAATCGCTCACTTTTGTCAGAAGACTAAGGTTATTCTTGGAGGGAAACCTATCTATAATTTGGTAAAAAGAAGGATCTTTGACTTCGAAAATTCTTCCGATTTATCCGAGTCTTTCTCTGTTGTTGCTTCTTTTTTCTCCTGCATTCTTCCAGAAGTTACATGTTAACTTTTGTGATCAACATAATTATTGGTTTATTACTTTCTTTACACCACTCTATTGCCACTGTTTTTTTCTTTTTATATTTTTTGAGAATAAAATATATGAAGTTTATAAACTATACCATTACTGCTTCTTCGTCATATTTTACCAAATTCGTAGTTCATTTCTGGCCTGATTTTGTTTACATTTTTGATGATTGTATGTTTATATATATATATATATATATATATATTTTTTTTTTTTTTTAAAGATTTTTATTGGTAAATCGAATTATAAATAATCAAAATCGTTTGAAAATAAATGCAAAAAAACTCAATTTATGTTTTTTTTTTATTGTGACCAAACTGTCCAGTGTTTAATATTTCTGGATAATCCACTTTTAAATTATCTGCAATATAATATTGTAGATAGAAGTCATTATTTTTTTTGTTCCAATTCTTAATTATAATTCTGGCATCCCTTGTTCCTTTTTCTACAGATAGCAAATCTAAAATTAATAATGAAATAGTTTTATTTAATTTATTACTTACCTATTTTCCTTTATCTTAAGTTTGATTTAGTCAAGTTTTAATATATAACAATTTGATACACGTACAGTTTGATTAATGCAAGGTTTTTTTTTACTCTCTCTATTAAATTTTTTATTTTACAAATTTATAGTGAAATAGCTTCGAATCAAATATGGATTTCGCCTAGCTGTTATCTGTAACAATTTAAATGCCATGAGAACATGACTGGAGTCTTATCATATTGTAATAAACATTACTTTATCAAGACATAAATTCATCCTTTTAAATTTTACGTATAAAATAATAATGCTTAATCATAAAATAGCAATTTTCCATCTTTCGGCTTCAAAGAGGTAAGGAGACAAGGGTCTCCTTTTGGTTCTGGAAAGTGGTCCTTATCTGGTTAATATTATTATTTGGCAATATTATTAAAGTAATAATAATACCGATGATTGAGCGTGCGTATTATGTAATGATGGAATGAAATCTGATATTGAGAAATGGTTCTCCATTTCACCATTTCTCAAAACAATCATGGATATTAGTGTGGATACTGGCAGTAGTACTGTCCGTGAAATGGTGACACATCATTCCTTAGTATGTGAAGTGGCCAGAAATAATTTATTTTTACTTAATTTATCTTATTTAATAGTAGAGGGTGTCCAATGTAGTAATTATTTTGAAAATTGATATTTTTATTTAGTTCAATAACAAACAATCAGAGTTTGAAATCGATAATTATTTTTTTCACGGAATCATGTAATAATTATTATTATATATGATTTATAATTTGAAAATCGTGTCTGATTTATCTTTGATTTTTATTTGTCCTATTAAAAATAATGATCACTCACTGAGTGATAAAGTTTTTCATAAATAATAATGATTAAATAGTGATTAAAAAAAAATTGATGAGAAAATAAAAATCACTTTTTACACACAAACTAAATTAATCATTAATACGTATTTATTCGTTATTAATGTACACATTTTTTAATATCATATTTGTAAAACCGCTTTAATTGTGCACGCGGTCCTTTGGCATGTATGTATATATATATATATATATTATATTTTATGTATATTTTTTGTATGCTTAAATTTCCAATAAATTTCAAAAATAAAGATGTTCTGTTGTTGATAGTTGACAACAGTATTTTCTATCTTCAACTCCAGGCTTAAAATATATCATACAGATTAGAACATAAATTTATTTCTGATTTTCTCAAGAATTATTATTACTATTAATTTTAAAAATTTCGTTCAAAAATAATGATCAGGATGTGATTTTTATCCCTTATGATCATAAATAAAAGTCTATCTTAATAAAAATCATCAAATGGTTTTTAAAATTTCCAGATATATAATTTGATTTTGATTTTTTACGTATTGATTTCAAACTCTGCGAATATAAAGAAAATTGAATGAAAAAGATTTTTGAGGAATGGTTAAATAATTTTTATAATCTTCAGGATTTTTGAATTATTACTTTATATAGTAAATTTAAAAGAGTGGGCTTATTTTTTTCCTTTGACTGAGACTATAGAAGAAGGCATACCTGTGTATTTTTTTAAAATATGTAAAAGTTGGTTTCTATATGAGTATCCTATGGCAACGATATCACCTAGGGGGCTCTCGGGAAGGATTGAATTATCTTCAAAACAAAACGTTTTTGGGCATTAATGCATAAACTTCCCAATATTTGTAATGACTTTTATAGTATTTGCTGTAAGTTTTTACGCTTTAAAATTGTCGTTTGTTTGATCTCCATAAAGTTTTCATTCGTTTAACATCTAATTCATCAAATTCCATCACTCCTGAGAACTGAATAAGGAATTTATAGTACTATATTATATTCATAATGGTGGGTAAATGGTTGACTGCAGTAAATAATGAAGAGAAGAATAGTTGGGGTGATCAGTCAAATAAGAAGGCAAAAATAAATGAAAATATTTATTTTGACATTTGCCGACGTTTCGACCTGAAGTTCAGGCCTTCATGAGGGCTGACTCTAATGGTGTTAATCGGAGCAATCTCTATATTATATTCAGTGTAGGTGAATCTTTTTTTTTCTTTACCGATCCGATGGGAGCGTTAATTTTCTTTTTTAAACACCGTCGATTCCCAAATCCTCAAAAATTATCTAGATCTCGATTGAACGTTTTCCTGAACATTTTTATACTGATTCATTCGATGTAATTTTACTATTTCATAAATTGATTAGAGGTATTAATTCACGTTTTGTAAATGCTATCATTCTAAGTAGTCAGCACAAATTTTGAATGAATGGTAAATATTCTGTCTGTACTAACGTGCTTAAGTGTTATTAGTTATGGTAAGGTTATACCTGTACTGTAAAAAGGCTGCGTTAGAATCGAAAGAGTGCTAGGGGCCTTATTTAACCATACATTTCGTAAATAATTTTCTCGACCACACATTTAAGAAGTTTACAATAGGAGTATTCATGCCCTTGTTGTAAATGCTTAATGTGCTATAATGCAAAGCAGTCAGCACAAATTTTGAACGAATTGTAAATAACCTATCTCTAATGTAAATAAAGTTTGTGGGCTCTAACGTTTTGATTTATTTTAATAATGCTTTATTAGAAAGCATGAATGAAGATAAAGATGGCAAAGAACTTATAATGAATTTCTTAAATGAAATCCTAGCTGTCTTTACATTCCATTTCTGTGGATATTATACACAAACAAACTATCTGCCAGGCTAGAAATGAGACTGAAGAAACTCTTGAACTGTTTCATTCTGGTACACCGAGTTGAAGTGGCTTTTTCCTATTTCCCGACGACTATTCCTGCTTCTTGTTTTCCTTTTTTGCAAGTCTTCAGAACCAAAAACCCTCTCTACATCCTGGAACTCGTTACTCTACGTTCCTCTATCCACTCTTTCAATACCAGGTCTCAACCTATAGACTTATATATTCCCTCTCATAAAACTTCTTCCTTCAGCAAATCCTTCGTCATTCGTTCTACTTCCTTATGGAACTGTCTTCCTACATCCATACGTCAATCCTCGTCCACAAATTCCATCAAACAATTCCTGTTTCATCACCAACTCCACATTCAAACTTCCGCAAACATGTAAAAATACTTGCATCTGTACACTGTTTAATTTCAATCTACTGCATAATTGCAATAACAATTCACAGTTAATTAGTTTGTATTTTTATTATTCCAAGTCAGACTAAGACCCATAAATTTGTAACTCTGTTATTATTCTTAGGGGACAGTTGGCCCAGAATAAAATTATTTTTTCATTCATTCAAAAAACAAAGAACGGAGAATGAAACGCATCAAAACCTTACAATATTTTTCCCCGTGCGTTTACGAAGTTCATTTCTTTTTCTTTTTTTTTTTCTAATTAATTATGGTTATGTACATGAAAAAAATGATTAAAAACCATCTGTTAAAGTATTATTGTTCCTGTAATTACATTTAATAGAACTTCAAAAATCACTTAAAACACCATTTCATCTTTTTTTGTTTCTAATTAATTATCGTTATATATATATATATATATATATATATATATATATGAAAAAAAAATTCTTTCGGGCTGAATGAAGCCCCCCCCCTCAAAAAAAAAAAAAAAATTAAATCCTGGATCCGCTAGTGTTCTCTGCTGACGGAGTCATCACGCCTTTGTCAAGCGGAAACCGCTTATCGAGTTTTTAATGACTTCTACCTCCTAGGGTACAATTCGGGATCGTTGTTGTTTACAGATAGGTTTTTTCTATTTAAGTACACAACCGAAGCCTGGGAAGACGGGGCATGAGCTGGGAAGGAGGCGCGTTTTTGCCGGAGGAGTACAGTAACACCTACCTGGAGTTGAGGAGGCTACCTGTTGCACTCGGCTATTGTTGCCAGTTGGGAATGTCGAACGTTGCCGAAGAGCGGAGAAGAATGTCGGAGGTTGCCGAACAGGAACGATCCTGGCTCAGTCCGCACCGCGCACCTGCTTTCACCTGCATGCCTCAGTCAGTTCTCGATTCCAACAATGGACTCACCTTCATAACTCCTTTGTGTCCTACCGCCGCTTCGCTAAAATGTGAGTTATTTTTATTGTTTTATAATGCCCATTCAATATTTTCTTAAATGACTTTGCATCATATATCTTTCTTGCATATTTTTCTTCGCCCTCTGTCATTATATACACTGTAGATCTGCAAACCTTCAAAATATCGCTGCAAGAAAAACTTTCCATCCTAGCACTTTTTAGACTTCTTAATGTTCATGTCCACCATGTTTCTGACAACTACCAATAACCCTATTATTATTATTACATTCGTACATCCACTTTATCAATATTTTCGCTACATGTATTTTTTGTTTGTTAATTATTTATTCTGATTAAAAATAGTGCATTTTTCACATATATTGTTATCACTTCCTGTTCGAAATCGTTATCAGTTGAAGACCACCTGTTGGCATGCCTTTCCGCCCAACATTCATGTTCCCACCGAACATTTGAAAATTGTTAAAATACTGAGATAGTTGACTGTAATTCTAATTTAAGAGAAAGATAGCCGGGAGTACGTGTCAGTAAAAATACTACTATAATATATTTACTAACCGCACCCTCGTCCAACTTCCTATAAAATTAAAAATAAAGAATACTTATACATATCGTTACTGTTAGTGCAAAAGGTCGTATGTAACAATTTCCCATTCTTATTCTATCTATACTGAAGGTGACATTTTATGATCAGCAACTGCCATTAGTTGTCTGCAACTATGGAAAATATCAGAGAGAAATTCAATATGAAATCATACTAATAAATCGTAAAGAAATAATCAGTTTTTATTCTCTCCTATAAAAAAAAACAATTCAATTTTCACGTACGACCTTTTCCACTAACGGTAGCGATATTTGAACAATTAATAAACAATTTAGATGTTGAATGAAGTTCGGAATATTTAATTTTTGTGCAACAAACCATTATTACTTTTTCATTATTTCTCTTTTTGTTTGTTTTGTATTTTTTTTTATTAGAATGACAAATGACTGAAACAATATAATTATTGAAATGTGTGGTAGAAGGTGTAAAATATTTTTAAAACAATTGCTCTACTTCAGTATTTTGAATCATTTTTTTGTTCTTTTATTTCTGATTCGTTTTGTTTTTCAGAGTTTCTTTGTTGTTCATAGCTATGTTTTTTCGTTTATTACATTTTTTTTTTCAAATTTTCCTATTTGTTTTTCTTGTTCTTTTTTTTAAGTCGTAAATTTCTTACTTCTTACCAGTGCTATTCTTTTGTTTGGACAAGACCCCCAAGGATACTGTCGAAAGTTCCGGGAACTTCACGGTCCGCCTTTAGAAGAAGACCCCATTGATTCTAACCTGTGGAGTATAGAAACCTAATTCGTGTCCATTCGAGCGAAGCCTGTATGAAATGGAAACGTTTTTTTTTATTTTCGTATTTATTTCATGCTTTCAAATTTTTCGACTTAGTATCAATTAAAAGTTTCATAGAATTTTTATCCTTTTAACAATATCACATATTCTGATAGTTATCAACTAGACAAGTTTATGATTCATGAAATTGAGTGTAGGGATTGGCGCAGAGTGACAATTAAGATGATATTATTTTCTATAATTTTAATAAATTCAATGAAAAACAACAAAATTTTACTTTTTCTATAAATGACCTAATAAATGATAATTAACTTATTTAAATGTCATGCTCGAATTTTCAGTATTTTTTTTTTTATGTTCATATTTATTATGTCACGAAAAAAACCTTCAATAGTTTCAAATAAAATATCTCTTTTATAAGGAAAGAGGTTAGAGGAAAAAACAGGCCTTGGTGGAATGAGGATGCTGAAGTGGCTGTTCAAGAGAAAAAATATTTATACAATAAATGGTTGAGCTCCAAAAATGAGAAGGACCTGAGAGAATGTATAAATGCCTGTAAAAAAGTAAAAGCTATTAGAAGGAAGGCATTAAATATCTATTGGGAGAAAACCTGCAAGTATGTGGACACTTACATTGATGGACAAAAGTCTAGTGCTGCTTGGAGGACATTAAAAAAATTGAAAAATCCTAAAAGATTTGGAGATAAGTTCCCATTGATCAAAGAGCAGCAATGGAGGAATTACTTTGAAGAATTATTTCATGAGGAACGACCCGAATTCGCATGGAACCAATCGGATGAAATAATATTAAATAAGGAAGATATACCGCCAGTCACAATCATAGATATGGATTCAGTTCTCAAAGGAATGAAAAATAGAAAATCTCCCGGCCCTGCTTCTATTCCAATTGAATTAATTAAAGCAGGCCCGACCGAACTCAAAATGGCACTGGCAGAAAGTATGACACTTCTGTTAAATGGTGGAGAGATCCCCGAAGAATGGAAACAGAGTTATATCACCCCAGTTTTCAAAAAAGGCCAAAAGAAAGACGTTTCCAACTACAGAGGTATTACGGTTACCAGCTCGCTGAGTAGATTATACGGCCGAATAATTAAAAGCAGAATTGAAAATGACTTAAAGGAAGAGATTAGCGAGGAACAGGCGGGTTTTTGAGCTGGAAGATCGTGCACTGATCACATTTTTAGTCTCTCACAACTTATAGAAAAGAGGATGGCCCACGACCGTGAACTCCACATGATATTTGTAGATTTACACAAGGCCTACGATTCAGTACCTTCAGGAAAATTGTGGAAAGCTTTGGAAGCCACATCTATTAAGAGATACCTCATCAGAGCAATTCAAGAGCTCTATAAAAATATAACGGGGGCTATAAAAATAGGAGATAGAGTGTCTAGAAGCTTCCCCATTAACAAAGGATTGAAACAGGGCTGCTGCCTTTCACCCCTGATTTTCAATATTTATATAGAACAAGCCCTTAAAGACTGGAAAAGATCGTGCTGTCTAATGGGTGTTCAAATTGGGAATGATGTCATCTACAATTTGCAGTATGCCGGTGATCAAGTTATAATCGTATCAGATCCGGATGATCTGAGCTATATGAGGAGGAAGTTGCTAGACACGTATTCCAGATGGGGTCTGAAGATCAGTGAAAGTAAAACAGAGTGCATGGTTTTCAACGCTCCAAATTTGCCCCTTGAAATTGATGACTGGACGCTAAATGTCAGCCAGCAGTTCAAGTACCTCGGGTACTGGTTATCCTCAAGCGGAGGTAGTGAGGTTGATATCGAACATAAAATAAATAATGGGAAAAGAATAATAAGTTCGATAAATTCAACCCTATGGAGTAAAGAAATAAGATTAGAAACTAAAAAGAAGATATACCATTCCTTTGTAGAAAGCGTAGCCACTTACGGATCAGAAGTTTGGACTATGAAAAAAAAAGATGGAAAATAAGTTGCTTTCCATGGAAATGGATTTCTGGAGAAGAAGCTGTGGCATATCCCAAACGCAGCTATTAGAGACAAGGTCGGATGTCAAAAGAACATCCTTCACCTGATCGGGACCTAACGGTTAAAGTCGTACGGCCACTTAATGCGGATGGATGAGAACCTCTGGCCAAAGAAAATTTATAACTATATGCCACCTGAAAGAAGGAATTGTGGAAGGCCAAAGAAGAAATGGATAGAGGACGTGGAGGAAAGCATGGCAGCCAGAGGGCTTCGTGAAGGAGATTGGATGGACAGGGAGCAGTGGCTTTTGGGTATTGGGGATATGACTCTTTAAGTTGTATAAAACCCAAATGAAAAACAAAAAATCTCTAAAAAATGCTGAAATATGCCGTAAACAATTTTTCCAAATTAAATAGATATGTATAGACAATTGATATATTATGTTTTTATATTACATGAATATTTAAACTAATCGTTTTTGTTGGCAGGGTAATTTAATTTTAATTTTCGTGTATATAAGAAATTTTATGTTACCTCATAAAACTGGGCACTGCTTGTAAGTTGCAATTTCTGACTACACACATTTTGTGGTATCTTAAAAAATTGTTTAATTAGTTAAATATTATTCACATTTTAGATTATCTTCATTATTGGAATTAGGGATAACTAATATCACTTAGAAGTTAAATTACAAACAAATAGTACGTTTAAAGTTACAAACAATTGTTTAAAAAAAAATAGACTATACACGTTAGGATACGTTTATTATACAAAATGAAGTACAGACATATTTTCAAAAGTAAATAATTAAGTCATCTTTATCACTCTTTTAAATATAAGTTTAGTTACGTTGATTCTTCTTGAATTTATTGTCGAAAACAATTTATAAATAGTTTATTTATAATTTTATATTATTCTCAATACTTTATTTTTACCGATTTCGAGCCCAAATTTTCTAAAACTCAGCAATTATATATATTTTTTTTTATTTCTTAAAGACATTTACAACTGTATTAAATAAATACATCTAGTAAATTTGAACATAATGTATATAATGACATGCAAAACACTTGCTGAGTAACTACCCAATGGTAGCACTCTAATCAGCAATTGTATTGAAATATTGATGTTTTGAATTATGTGTTTATATTTAATAATTTATGAATGTTTATCAGAGATTAAAACAGATGAATATCAGAGAATAAAACGTTTATAGTACTGCTTTAAAAAGTTCGATTTTAACTGTTTCTGTGAAACCTTGTTAGGAAACCTTTTTCATTTCAACAGTTACTGTTTGAAAAAAAGTTTTTAAAATTAACGTTCTAAGGATCTTTTTTGTAATAAAGTTCCAGGTTTGTATGGTTAAAGTTTAATTTATATTTTTTCAAGTTCTTAAAAAAAGATTTCGTGAAATGAAAAATAACCTGTAATTGGGTTTAGATTATAATTGTAATTGGTCTTAAATGAATTACACATTACTGTAATGTCTTGTTCGTTTCAATAGGTATGAATAAAAGTATTTTTTAGCGAAATTGACAGAACTTTTTAATACACTTTTTTGTTTATATATATAAAATTTCTGTAAAACTATGGACGATAACAATTCAGGTGCTACCGAAACGTTATAAAAATAAAAGTTTTTTTTGCGTGTCAAGCCCTGATATATTTTCGTACACTCTTATATCAGTTCACCTTTGTACCTTTTTGTCCAAACTTTATTTT